AAGGTGCACTGAGTTCAAATCCATCCATCCTCACAAACCAGAGGGAGAGTGCAAAGCAGTAGCATGCCTCTCGAGGGCAACGGCCTCGTTTGTGGGAATCTGTCTTGTCTCCAGGAAGAGTTCCTGGAAAAATGTAACTGAGGGCATAATGTCTGTTTATCCATTAGCTTGTCCTCAAAGCTCTTCTCCATATAGGCAGAACTTAAACCAGCAAACAGCCTTGTTGAAACTGCTGCTTTTTTCTTTTCCTCTTTTAAGAGACCAAGTCTTGTGCTTTTTTTTCATTCTGTGGAGTACACAGCTGACATTATTACCCACATGCTTAGCAGTGCCACTGCTGTAACGGATGACGCTAGTACTTAAATGCACTAGGAAGACAGGAGTGGGCTGAAGCCATTTTTAGAACAACATGCTATTTTCTTTTTTAGTGCTGACTCATTCACTGTACCTTGTGGTATGTTTACCTTGATTGCTTGCTGCTTTGCAGGCTGTTCAATGGCTGAGGGAGGAATACTAATCAGTGGCACATAGCACTGTGCTCCCGAATTTCAGTGATGGTGAGTGCTATGCTCTTGACTGTTTTTTGGCTTTATTGTAGGAATTACTTTTGTTTAACTATCATTCACATGTGTTTCAGTCCTGGAAACTGTAAGCGACACTTCTGCATGCATCATTTTAGCACAGCTATCTAGTTCATATCCATTTTTTCTGTTGAAAATCTTTGCTCCTCACTAGTTCTCATATCAGAGTGAAATTAATCAAAGTCATTGCACTGTATACATGTTGAACCTAATTAGCCAAAACAGCTGATGAAGACAGAAGAGATCTCACAACTCATTTATCTTTTTCTTAACATATTTTATATTAAAATTAAAATGACATGGAAACCAGTAGCAGCTGCTATAGCTAAAACTATACAAAAGTGTGCTTTACTGCATGTAGGATGTACTTAGGGTATTCTGCCTGCTGAATGAGATGGCAGAAGTGTGTGATACCCAGAAATGCATTTGTAGCTCAGTTTGTCTGTATTCAAAACAGAAATTAAAGGCCCATACATAAGAACTGTTGATAGTCATTCACAGGGATCTGATAAATGCTATTAGTGTACAGTTACAAATGGCTGCTCTCTGCTCTCATGGTGCTACTTGACCATCTGGTTCACTTTACAGCTAAGCTGATTTAACAATGAGCTGGAGTCCAAAGGGGTTTCCTACCCTTCCCCCCTCTCTGCTCTCTGCATGTTCCCGCCGTCTCCACTGTAGCAGGAGTGATGCAAATCTGATCCAAGCTTTAGATAAGAAAAATAACCACTACTTTATACAGCTCTATTTTTATTAATTTAGTTCTCTGAAACTGTCTACTTCAGGGCTAGATGACCACCCATGCTGGAACAAGGCACGCTGACTGACTCACCTCTAACTTACAACAGCATACTCCCTGTCCAAGGAGACCCCCCAGCTGCAAGGACTGTCTGTGGAGAAGCAGGGGATGTGAAACCCTAAGTGAGGAGCCAGAGACTAAGCTTGGAGATTTACCAGGTTAAAGAAATATCTGCTTTCAACTCTAGGACATGACAAGCACATAATATGCAGACACCTTCAAAACCTCTTTTCTCGTCTCCTGTTTTCAGTTATCTGTGAATTTGGTAGAAGCTCCTTTCTTAGAAAGGAATTTCCTTTGTTCACTCCTCAGAGTTCTAGTTTTAAGGAAAAAGCAGCTCAGTAATTACTGCGGAAGACAAAATTGAAACCCAGAAACAGCACAGAAAACATGGGTTTAAGCACAGGCCTAAGACACGGCCATGGTCTTGCAGTTTGGGACTCTGTACCACAACTCTCCAGTGGGAAACAGAAGTAGCAATATTTTATACAGGTGTTGAAAGAAAGAATAACAACAAGGAGACCAGTAGATAGAAAAGTGAGTTGGGTACAGTGAATTCTCATATAACCAGGTAGCAGAATAAAAGTCACATATATATGATACATTTATAATAATAATATATAAACATAGAAAATGAATTTTTATTATTTTGGGGTATGTTTATGTATTCATATATAAAATCATGGAATAATTATAATTTCACAACTTTGCATTAAAAAGATTTTAAAAATATGTAGCTGACATCACTCAGGAGAAATGTCTTTTAATATCATGTGTTGTAATACTATAAACACAAAGATCCTGTGGAGGGCCTGGGGTTTTAAGCTAATCTGTTCACTTGTGCACCTCGGGGAAATATGCTGCTGCATAATCAACTTCATAATCCCTTGACTTCTCATTGCCAGATATTCTGGAGCAAGGCAGTAAACTCTCTTGGCTAAGGATCTTGACATGTTTCTCCACCTTTCCCAGTTTTTTAACCTAATGAGTATTTTTATACAATCATTATTTAGTGATTCTTCTTACACTTCTGTAAGAAAAGTTAAATATCACTCAGTTTTGCAGATAGAGTAATTGAAGTCTGCAGTGATTAACAAAGTACGTTTCCTGGGTCAGAGAGAAAGTACATGGCAGAACTAATAATGGGACTTATATCTCTAGTCTTAATGGTTACAGTGTGACAGCACAGTGTCCCGCAAAGTAGAAATTTCAAAACTAAGCATTCAGTTATGACATTGACAGAATGGGGTCCCTTCAATTTGTTTGCTGACCTTGGACTAGTGAATAAGCCAGACACTCAATCAGAAGGATATCTATGCTCTGAATGGCATATTCAGATTCTACAGAACTTCTATTTTATTTTAATATTTTGTAATAAGAATACTCCTATTATAGAATTCCTTGTATTATTGCTTTGGACACAACTGTAGATTCCTTATGGTGGTAACTGAGCACTTGAGTCTTCACAGATTTCCATTATAGGATCCTTGTGAATAGGGAATGGCTACTATTCCATTTTTACAGGTGCTTAAAAACAAAAATCACAGAGAAAGTCTCAGGTGCAGCAAAAATATAAATTCACATCTCCTAGATTTCAAACTGGATGAGCCTACCAGTGGATGAGCTTCCCTAATTACTAGATGAAAATTCCTTTCTGTAGTCATCCCAAATCATAAAAAGCATAAAACAATGACTGCAAAAAGTGTGCTTTCCCGCTCACTAGGCTTGCCACTGGGCTTGATGTAAAGCTTAGTGATAATCAAGTTAGTTTGTGAACTCAGTGTTTCACATTCACTAGAGGATGCTGATATCAGTTGGGAGTAAGAAGGCCCATTAAAACGTAAACACTGGTGGTTTCTGCAAAGAAAAATGAGATGTAAAGGAGAAGAAACAATGAAACATGATGAGAAGGAAAGCACAAACCCCAGCAGATGTAAAGGAACCAGAGCTGACTCTGTAGAAGTGGGAGTATGTCACAGTAAGGAAAAAACTAGCCTTAAACTTCTCTATAATGTCAGAGCTGAACATGTGGTTTCAGAACACAGACACAAGTGGAACTCGCTGCACAGGACACGCTTCCAGTTCTGGATCACTGAGATTAAAAACTTTTAGGGAAGTACGGGCTGTTTTATATATATGAGAACTGCACTTGGATATGATAAAATATCACAGCTGCCAGTCTAAAATAGAATCCATTTGCACAGTAATGCTACGAGGGTTGCAATTTCTTTATTTTCCTTTCTCTACAATAAGGAACTTTCCCTGTTTTTCTGGGGAAGATTGATCCTGGATGTCTGCATATATGTTTTAAAAGATACGGCTCTTCAAATGTGACTCATTACTATTGGACCCCTGTTGCTCAGAGGGGAGAGAGCTCTGCAGAGAAGTACAATGGTTGTTGCTAGCCTGTGTTTGCTGGCTTCTGCAGAGCCCACAGGAACTGAAATTCTCTAAATATATAAGTCTGCAGTGGAGATTTGCACATGTTAATATGACAATCAGTTAAGCTCTGGAGAAGTTCCTTAAAAAGAAGTAAAAGAGAAGGTACTCAGAACAACATAGGCTTTGCAGACTGTACTTGGTAAGAATACCTAAGAGAATATTTGTATACAATGTTTTTTTTCCAGTGGCAAAGCCAGTTGAAGAAGTTATCCTCCCTGCTACACTCTCCTTTCTGCTATGCTCCCACTGCAGTTCTCCATACTCACTGAAGCACTAATGTCACTTGTCATGGGACTGTGCGTAGGCCACGTAAATGATGTAAATGTCTAAAAAAAGTATTTTGGAAGCTATTTTTTAACCATATCACTTTAAGATCCAGATCATCATGCAACAATATGAATGGCTACATTAACATGACTTTGGGGTGACAAATGGCAGCAAGCAGCAGGTATAAAAATTTAAATGTAGGAGAAAATAGGAGCTCCTTGTTTGCCGCTAGAGAAAACAAGTGTGCAGAACACCACCATAAATAGTCTGAGTGCCAGGCCTGAAATATTTATCTCCCTGAGGTACCCATGTAACTTTTACCAAGGATAGCTTACAGTATGGTCTCAAAAGAGGATCAGTTCAATATGATCTTGGGTGACCCAATCACTAAAAGGAAGTTTGTGAGTGATCATCATCACGACAAAGCAACTGAGTACACCAGTAAATCCATTCTCCTGTAACTTACAAAAACCCAGAGAAAGGAATAAAAGAACATGAAAACAGGATTCCACACAGCTTGTTTTTAAAATCACTCCTTCACAGATGTATTTGAACCATTTTTTCTAGCCCCTAGACTGCTGGGAGAAGTGCCCATTTTTCAGTCTGATATATGGATTTTATCAAGATGTTCAGTGTGAACTCCAAAGATTACAACACATCCACTGACCTTAAATTAATTTATATCACGCCAGTTTTATGATCCATAGGAACATAAAAGCACACAGTTTAGAAACTGTGCCCTATAAACAAAGTAAAAAACTAGAGTTTTCTCACTTTCATGGAATATCTGCATTAGGTGAGCCATACAGGTATTTTTTGAGAGATACACCGATTACCCTTGTATTTTATGATGACTATGGCATAAACTGATGTTTTTTTCATTACAAATCTTAAGAAAATCTTCCTCTTACCTGAAGGTAATGGCACGGCCTCAAGGAAGGTTTGATTTCCTGATGAACCAGAGGCTTATCTAAGTTCAGTGATGATTTGCGATAAGCTTCTTTAGCCTGACTTACTGTAAGCGTAGACCAAGAACTCCTTTTCATATATTTACCATCAGGGGTCATTGCTAGCCCTTCACAAGCCGAACACTTCACATCATTGTTACTTTTGGAAGTCTTCAATGAGAGATCCCCAAAATGCCCCTGGAGTGCCTCAGGATAGCAATGGGATATATGATCTGCATGGTGCCTATTTACCACACTAGGGGTTCGGTAAGTGCTATCGCTGTCCAAATTATCATCAGAGCTCCACCAGCTGCTCATTCCAGATTTATGCTTGGTTTCTGGTTTTCGCTCCTTACTTTTACTCCTTTTGCTATGCTTGGAATGGTGCCCATGATGATGGTCGTCCCCTCGACTATCTCCCTTTGTTCCATTAACATTGCCCTTGGATGATCCTTCCAGAGAATGAGATTTAGTAAAAAGTTTCTGGACAGAATGAACGAGATGGCGTATTCTTCCTGGGCTCTCACTGCGTTGTTCCGCAGCTGTTGAGGTCCTCTGGTACTGTAAAGTGTGAAACCCATCCCGGTGAAGAGGAAGTTGTTTCTCAAATTGGTCCAAAAGATTTGCAGGAATACGGTTAATCTTAGGGTTACCGTGAGACATGGCGCAGTCGTCTCTTGAGTCGTAATGTGAGCTGTAGTGCATTCTGGGGAAAGTGCTACTTGACATGTGATCGCCCATTACCATGGGCATCATCATGCATTCAGAATGAATGGAGCTGCGTGGTGAGCAACGATGGTGGTCCATCGGGCAACTCTCCGTGGGGCTGAGAAGATATGATTGCCTTGGCTCCTGCCCATGGTGGATATGGTCGTGGGCGTGTTCACAATCTTCAGGGGATGCTAAGCCACAAGTATGAGCGGAACATAACTGTGGTTGGTTGCGACTACCAGATAATCCTTTCATATTCCTCGGAGCAGGAGAGTATCTTTCTTCATTGAAGTGCTGAGAAGGCGACCATGAGTACTGCTGGTCTGTCAGGAGAACACATAAACCTATGTTATGTGTCTGATCAAAATATTAACTTGCAAAATCCAAGAATATTTCAAAACTAAACATTTTTTCTCTATGAGTTTGATGGAAAATCTCACCATTTATGGAATTTCATTCATTATTTTAAAACTGGTTAAAATTGCTCACTGTGACCAAATTATGGGGTGAACGCACTTTCCTTCGTGTTTGCAAAACTGTCTGCTAGCAGTTCTAAAATTTATGAAGCTATTCATTATGTAAATTTACTCAAATAGATTTAATGTATACATTCAGTATTCATTTTATTATTTGATACCTGGAATTCATATGTTAAGCTTTGTGTCTAGTCATTTAAGTTACATGTGTCTAGTTTCTACTTCTGTGGTTTCTCAGTTGGGTATAACCTAAATGTATCCTTTCTCAATGGAGCCAAATTTGTATCACAAACTGAACTTCATTTTCTTAAATGAATCTGTTTCAGGATCCCAAGTTCACTGTTCATAAACATAATTAATAAACAGCAAAGAGAATAAGAATATGAACATCTTGAGATGAAGCTTAATTTTTGTATCACTAAACAGTTTATCAGTGAGCATTTCATACTATTTGAACAAGTTATCCCTAGTTCAGAAGTATTAGTGCTATTCCCATACATGTAAAGTTTTCTGTATTAGGCAGTTTTTCTCTTTTTATGTCCAAATTAAAAAATATTTATTTAACAATTCTGTGTTATTCCTGATTTTAAAAATATCTTTAGGCACAAGCTATGGGTTTTGATAGACACGATTATTAGTTCCTGTGGATCATGTGTTCTGAGTTGTGGTTATTAAATGAGCATGATTACTAAATAAATGTAGCTTGTAAGCAAAGATTTTGATATTCAAGCCTCTGATTTTTTTTTTTTTTCCTCTCATGCAATTTATTGCAGCTGTCAAATGCTACAAACAGAAAATTAAAAAACCCAGAAATGCTTCAATTTGATTTTCGCATTCACTTTCTCTCTTCAATTTCAGCTTATCTAAGCAACATTTCAAAAGCAGACAAAGATATAGGATGCAAGACTTTAGAGGATCAGACAGATGCATAAGTGTTTATACAATCCACTTATCATAGTCTGACTGCAAATTTGCTCTAGAGAATCTAAATAATCTTGCACAGGTGCCTGATACAAGGAAGTTGAAGGCCTCAACCAGAATGGAAGCCAGAGAATATGTACTTGTTATATATAACAACATAACTGGACACTGGAGACTGTAGAGATAACACAGTAGCCAACAGCACTTTGAGGGGTTTCTAAACATATGACAAAACTCTCCTAAATCATATTCCCACTGCTAGTGAAAACTCAATGACTGGATATGGTCATGAAACAGATCAATATCCGTATCTCTTTAATGTATTCAATTAGTGAGTGTTATGTCATGATACTTCAGTACAAAATGAAATTTGCTGCAAGTCTTTAACATCAGCAATCTCATAACCTAAATGCTCTAGATTTCCTATAGTGGAAGATGCTTAGATAATTTTATTACATCCTAATTTCCACAGAGCGCCACATAATGTTTTAAAATGAATGTAGCATTAAACTAATAAGCAATAAAATATTCTTCATCCTAGTCAAAATCCTGCCACACTAAACTCAAAGATGGATTTAAGGTTCCAAATGTCACCTCCAGACCTTATCATGGTGTGAAACTGATGTGTCTGTGCACATATCCTTTTCTGCTTCTATTTTGTTTTTATGCAAGTTTCTTTTACTTAATTCTTGGCTATTTTCACATTAAAATTAAAACTTATTACTGTTGATTACTCAGTCTGTTGTACTATTTAGGTTATAATGCCCTGCATAGATGTAGTTACAAAAAGGAAATAAAACTCCTTCTCTGAAATCACATAATTTTGATTATCCAATTAAAAGTACAGCTATATATAGACAAGGTAGTAAATTATAACAGTGCATTGGGATTCAGCCACATAAGTAGCACTGTAATTAATGGTACTTAACACAGTATATTACCAAACATTATCAGGGGAATAATAATGGTCCATGTGTTGAACTAAGTCTGTGCTTCCCATTAAGGGTTTCCAAAACACCTGACAGAGATTACTGCATTAGTTTTTACAATCCCATGAGATGTGGAAGGCACAGTTCTTCTTTTACAGAAAAGGAAACTGGAGTACAGGCAACATATTCCAAAGTGCTTGTGGATTTGCTGATTTTCGTTTTCACAGTGGTATGAGCCAGAGGGAGGTGGAAGGATGCTCTTCAGTCAAACTGACAGCACGATGAGAGTCAACATTCTTGCACATCTATGAATGAAGGTAACTCTTGTACTACGTCTCAGCAATGCATTTGGAAAAAAAAAAAAAACAACCAAACAACAACAAAAAAAACCAACGGAAGGGCATGGCAGAGATCCAGAACAAAAGAAAGAGTTAGACAGGAATAAGAAACTCATTTAAACGAGTTTCCTAGCACAGAACTGGTAGTCCCTGGTGATTTCTTTAGGCCTCACACAGTACCAAACATAGCCCAGAAGGATTCAAACATTTTCATCTTGTTACATCCCTAGCAATATGAGACAACATGATTTGATTGCACTGCAATGGATAATCTAACAACAGCTTTTCCATACCTCATGACTTCCTATGATTCTAGCTTAGTGCAGTTATAGAAAAATACCATTTTCTGTACATTGCTTTCTCAGCCTTATAGCATTTCATGTGCCTCACGGAATGTCTGAATTTGAAACACAGTAGTTAGAAACTGTTATAGACATTTAATAAGCATAATCAAAATAATTAAAAAGTGAATTAAGAGGGGGGCATTCTCCAAAAGTAATTTTCCTCTCTTAAATCTGCCATAGAGAGTAACTGATACTAGATAAAATCCCAAATTACTTACATGTACATCATCTAAATTTATCACTCCAAATAGGTTTGGGCTCTGGTTGGGACATAAAACCTGTTCTATGTCCCAGGCACCATTACTCCTTACAAACCCTGTGAAAGTCTTCAAAATTTTGATTATAATACATAAATTTATCAAGTTATCTCTGCTTTGTACTACTCAGTCAACTTTGTTCAGGGAGCTGGTTTCAGGGCTCAAAGAAACAGTTGAGCTATGGCTGAATGATTTACTGTACGGTACCAGGCCAGTGTAACTGGCCATGTGCTAGATCTTAGTCTGCCAAAAACGCCAAGAAAAATGTGCTAGTGTAAAATACAGTTGAGCTAATACGCTTTTCTTGCATTTGCAAGGGGCTAAGAGTGTGTCTACAGTCAATGTCCACAGCTCATCTGATTCATAAAAATTTGTAAAGCCACAGTATTAATATTTTTTTATGAATCCTTTAAAAAATAAATTTAAGATTTTGATGTAACAATATAATGTCAGATTTATCCAATAATGACAGATTAAATGGGAGTTTTAGTCTATGTCTTGAAGATAATGATATCTAGAATAAAATGCAAGTGCTTTTTTTTTTTTTTTTTTTACATCAGCTCTTATGTTTTCTTAGGGTAATCACTCTAAAAATATAATTGAGGATACTAATGTCTAGTCCCTTAAAGAAGGTGCCACCATCCAAATCAAAGAACTGACAGGAGACAGAAGAACAAATAAACATAACCCAAGGCAGATAGAGGAAGAGGAACAGAGAAAAAATATGTGAGCACAGGAATGGCATTTTTTTAGGTTTCATCAGAGCAAAATGGAATATTTCCACTGACTTCAATGGATAATCAGAGAATACATAAAGGCTCAGAGGGAGGACACCTAGACCAAGACTTAGGCTGTTATGTCATAGAGAATTCTGTCATTCCAAAATCCTGAAAATTCCTTAAAGCTGTTCTTTCCGGAGACTACTGTACAGATATAAGTCAACCTTTAACCTCGACAGACGGAAGAATTTCCACATCCTTTCCTGTCTATTTCAACACTTTCCCTTTTATGGCATGGCTTTCCCTGCTTTTTCTCCCTGTTTTTAATTCTGGACTTCCTGATGCTAAAAGAATTGCTCTCTCACTCCAAGCAGATGTTAGTTTGACTGTCTTCAAGGACCGGTCACAATATTTAGAGCCTTCAAGCTTCTTCCTTATGTCAGTATCAAGGGAAGAAAGAGAGGTTCAAGGACCAAGAATACTGTTTGGAACAATTAATCAGAATTAGTTTTAATGTTCTAGGGCAGAACGGCTAAAAATCGTTAAGCAATGAAAAATAAGAGCTGCGCATTTCTAGAGTTCCTGGAACACTGCTCTTTGCTAAAGAGAATCAATGTAAGAACACTAGAAACCGCTCTGACATTCAAAAGAAGTGCATGTCTCCACAAATCTCTTCATACAAATCTTTTTGTGTGTTACATATTTAAAGCAAGCTTTTGGAGCATAATAAGAATTCCTGGAACTAAAAAATGGTGCCTGATTTTTGCTTTCATTTATTTATTTATTTATCTATTGCAAAGCACTTCTTTTTCTCTTGAGAAATTAATTTAAATTGCTTTAACCTTATAAGCCCCTGAGTAAACTGCTTACCCATCTGAAACATTTGTGCTGTTTTCATTGGAGAAGAAACAGCTCTTTTGCATAGTGTAACCAGTAAAATGCATTGATGAATAGAGATACGCAATCAAGCTTTCAATAAAGATGTGGTATAGAAAACCAGACTGTTGCATTGTGCTGTTTCACTCAGTTAAATTAGTGCTGCAATGCATTATGAAAAAAAAATATATCCACAGTCTAACCTATAACTAATACAAATATTAAATAATGTAAAACCAAGTACATTAATCAAATAAGTATATATTAAATATTAAAATGTATAAATAAAATACTTTGGATGGAGATTTGTCTGCCCAAGGACTGTAGTAAGTAGCATTAATGAGCACTGTTTCCTCATTAGCTTGTTATAGTATTTTTCTCTGGTTTATTCTAACCTTGAAAATGAATATTTACATGGATTGAGAAGCGTGACTAACCTGCCAAGTGCAAGGAAGAAATTCTG